GAAGAAGTGATGTACAGCAGAGCAGCAGGCAGAAATGAAGAGTAAACTTGTTTAAAAAGGATTTGTTTCTCATGAGGTAAAATAATAAAATACAAACAGGCTGCAATGAAATCTGTTGCGCATGCATTAACTGCCAATTTCAAATGATATGTATAAAGTAAAATATGTATCATGTTGGTGAAAATCTGTCTCCATTCCTTTTCTCTCTCCATGGTTGTCTCATCTCTTCGGTTCAAACTGCAAATTGGTTTGCAAGGAGAGCAACTGGGATGGAAATCCAAACAGAATAAATTCAAAGAATCAGCGATATAATTTACAAATAAAAAAATTCCACACAAAATAAGAATAAATAGTTGCCTAAGACTAAAGACTATAAGATTTATTTACAAGATTTACAGAAATTTTTCTTCAAAAGAAACTTTTTTTTTCTTCCAATTTTGTTTAAGACTTGTTTTTTAAGATGTGCAGGTCTTAGTTTGAAATACTGTATTGTATCACCAACAACATGCATAAAGAATTGCAGCAATGTAAACAGCTGCAGAAATTATTAATATTTCTTTGGCCAGACGTTGTGGTGAATCCATTTTGTCAGAGGTAAACAGCAGAAATCTCTGCAGGGGGAACACTCGGACACATCCTGACAGGTGTCATAGTATAATGATACAGTTTGTCTCCGAGCTATTTTTAAAGAACAGTTTGCATAGACCTCCCTCTACAGGTCAACATGAAAAAATAAATCAGAATCAGAATAAGCTTTTTTATACCGTGATACTATGAGATTATGTTCGTACAGTCGTCTGAAAGCTGGGTGGAGTGCACGTTGCTGCTGCTATAATAGCGTGGCCCCTTATTCTTTATCAGAATGATTTTAGATAGAAAAAGGAAAGAGCCATGAGAATGAATAGTGGTACTACAAAAAAGATCTCATCACATCTTTTCCTTTCAGGACACCATTTGAGACGTGAAAAAACTCTACCAGCAAGCCCATTTATAAACACGATTTTACGATTACTGAGACGAAACACAATGCATTTGACATCAAGACGTTGAGATTTTTCCATGAGCACTTTCAGATAGGCCACAGTCCTGATGTTGTTTGTTCAGCTGGCAGTTCTGATAAGCCTGCACAGAAATTCTCGGAGGTGGGGTCGAAAGACAAAGCTTTGTCCCTAGTTACCCATGTTCCTGGAGAAATTTGACAGTCGGCTCGTATCCGAGGCCACACGGCGGAGTCAGATTCAGATAAGCCACAATTGTTAAATTTCATCATGCTTTTTTTCTTGTCAGCCTTGAGTCCAGCTGGAACTTTGCTTGTCCAAAATGGCCAGATTTATGGGTCACTCCACTGATCCGTGTTATGAGCCTTCCTCTATGTCGATCCCAACATGCTGGCAAGTCCTAGAAACTACAGGTGGCTTGCGATTCTCACAAATCATCTCCATCTTATGGTTTAGCTCATAAATCAGCTAATTTTGAGTACTCATACCACAAACTAAGCCTTCACACAGACTCGGAAACATTGCCATTGCCAAAACTGCTGCTGATGCCTTTTTCAAAAGTTTATTAAACAGAGCCCTGCCGATGCCAAAGAGCAAAAACCCTGCTACCATGAATCCAAATATATAAACGTCTTTGGCATTCTCCTTAGATAGAACTGAGAGACACATCATTTGCCAAACTCTCCACGGATCTTTGATGTACCTCGCAACGTTGGTCCCAGCCGGACAAGAGGGTTCTCCAGGTCCCTGCCATTTTGTTGAGAAGATTTTGTCGATAGCGTTGAAAGTCCAGATCACCAGATCCATCATCTTAATTTTTGTTTGGGAGATGTGTACCAGGAGCTTCAAGACATGCAGAGAGCAAAAGAGGAGGAAGTGGAAAACAGGGGGAGGGAGAGCAGAGATGTCCATCTTGAGTGAGAGCCAAAGGAAAAAAAGCATTTATACTTAATTTAATCAACTTATTGTTTTAACCAGTGGTGGGATGTAGCTAAGCACAAGTACTCGTTTGTCTCTATGTGGCCCTGTGATGGACTTGCGACCACTCCAGGGTGTACTCCGCCCCTCGCATAGTGATTGCTGGACATGGGCACCAGCGACCCCCGTGATCCAAAATGGAAAAAGCAAATAAAGACAATGGATGGATGGATGGATGGATGGGTGGATGGATGGATGGATGGATGGATGGATGAAGTCTAATGTTGCTTATTGGTAAACGAATATAATGGAATTCATCAAAAGCTGTAACTTTTCTTTTGTTGATTTTGTCTTGATTTTATTTGAAAAAGCAGTTTTTTTATAAATACAATTTTTGCAGAGTTTGTGTGATTTAAAACAGCTTTTCATATAAAAAACAACCCATAATATATTAGTATTTTGTTGCTGTGTTTTGTCATGTTCTTTGCAGGTGAACAGACAGTGGCCGGGTGTTTTGACGTGTGCTCTCTTTGTGTATATTTCTTATATTTTGGAGTCTTACTTTGTCTTTTCTTTCTTTCTATCCTATTAAAAAAATAAAAAATAAAAATACCTACACTAGATAGTCACTAGAATAAATATTTCATAATAATGGTGTGGAGAGGATGGCTGTAAGGGGAGAAGGGAGGCCATCAGAAAAAACAAACAAACAAAAAAAAAAAAACATAATGATAATGTTTTGTTCGTAAGCTCGGGATTGATTTGCTGTTTTAAAAATGTCAGCTGTTTCTTCTGCAGTGTTCATGTAACACAGATCGTTCAGTCATCCTGTTGTCAGTCAGTGCTGACACCATGAGGTCAACGTGAGAACACTTCCTGTAGAGTTTATGTTCAGCTTCTCCACCTTCTTTGAACACTGTGCTACTCTGGCACAATAATACGTGGCAGAATCCTCTGGGGTTAAGTTGGACAGTGTCAGATACACCGTGCTGTCATCTCTGCTGATTTGTATTCGATTTTGAAAACTGCTGGAATAGTCTGTACTTTTCTTAGCCCATACAATTCCCATCCATTCAA